TAGTATTCTAAAGTTATTTTGTTATATATATAAACTTTGAACTGAACTGAACATGTTCATGAACTTTGAACTGAACTGAACTGAACTTGAACTAATTTAAAAAGTTCAAAAATTGAATTGAACTGAACTGAACTGAACTTTATTTTTTAAAAATATTCAGTTCAGTTCAGTTCAGTTTTTGAACTGAACTTGAACTTGATAAAAGTTCAGTTCAGTTCAGTTCATAGAAACCCTACCTGTTTATTTGATATTAGATAATATTCCTAGTTGGAGGAGAAATAAACCTGATGCTAAAGTTTTCTTTGCATATCTTCCAATCATAAAACCAAAATCAGCTACACAAAAAAATACTAGTAATTTTTTATTTGCAAAATGAGTTGCATACCAATATTCATTGGATGTAATTTTAAAACCAATACTTGATTATAAAAACAATAGGTTTGATCTTCAGATTAATAATAGAGATTTATGGTGCTATCTATTTGTTTTAGTCTTTTTAGATGATATTTCAGAACATTCAATATTAATATTAATATATAATTCTGTTAATTGTAAATATCCATGTCACAAATACTTGATATCAGTTGACAAAATAAATGATATTAAGCTAAATGATAACCAAATTATTTCAAGAACCCCTAAAAAATAAAAATTATTATAAATCAAGGTCTTACAAAACAGTATTCCATATACAATATAGAAACATATCCTGGAAGTATCTGTAAGTATATATATATTTTGATATAACTTTAAATTTTATAATATATATAATAATATATGATATACTTATTTAATAAATATTAGACAATTAAATATTTACCTGGCTACAATTCCGGATAAGATGCATCACTTAGACCTAAGATTGTTTAAATATCAAGTAGAGTATACTCATAAATTATTAAATGATATTTGTAAGAAAATAGCAATTAATAAACTTGATAACTGGTTAGCAAAAATTTTTAGATTTCCTAAACTTAAAGTGTTTAATAAAAGACTTAAAAATATTAAATGCTTTATAGCTGATGAATTTTGCAATATGATGAAGATTTTTCTTTTTGTTGTTAAAGGAATTATCATAAAACATTATAAAATATCAATTGAGGAAGATGTAGCAAAATGATATAATTATATACTAGTTAAGGTTTATTACCACTGGAATAAGATGTATTTATTTAGCCATAAAGAATATTTTTTAGAATCAGATCTTGTTAAGTTTAAGGTAAAATCTATTTATATTTATTATTTTTTTTTATTTATTAAGATATATTAATCAAATTAATCTACTATATTACAGAACTTAATTATGAATTGGGCAAAATTATTTGGCAAACTTTTTAAAAGCTACTCACTATCAGAGCTTTGATTATCTAAATTACATAATTGGTGTTATTATACTATTGAAGCTATTAAGAAATTTGGTGCTATTAATAATTACACTACAGAAACTTATGAAATTTTGCACAAAAACTTTGTAAAAAAACCATATAGAGCTAGTAATAAGCATGATATTACTAATCAAGTAATTCAAACAGTTAGTATATTTTATTTAAAATTATATAGTTAATATTTACTTAATTTTATACTATACGTATTAATTTTTTAATTATATATAAATACATCGCAATTTAATTATTAAACATTTGTCTCAGTATAAAAAATCTATAAATATTATTAAATGACAATTTAAAGAACTTTCAATGAATAGACTTTTAGAAAAGTTTTTATTAGAAATAGCTAATAGTTTTTTTTCTTTATATATGACAAAGAACAAATTAGCTTCTGAAGCTTTATTAGCCTTCAAACATTTTTTTTCATCACTAAATAAATTTTTTGATCTATATGAGGATTTAACTAAAGATGTAGTAACAGGCGATACTACTATCAAGTGGTATAGTTATACTAATATGGTTACTAGTAAGAACTATATTAGAGCAACAAGCAATTATTATAATGAGCCATCATTTAGTAATGTAGCAATTAGTGTAAATGAAAGTGAAGAATTTAAACTAGATAATGGAACTTGCTTTTGCAAGGTTTGTTTATAAATAGTTATTTTAAATTTTTAATTAATTTTTATTATATATTAATATTATTTACTTTTAGATTCTAATATTAATTATTATTATTATTGAAGATTATGATAAGCTATTTAATTTTGCACTTGTGCAATGGTTTGACTTTTGATACAAAGCTGGCAATCAACTATATAAATATGATTGTCCATTGGTACAACTTACAGATACTTATGACTTTGTACTTGTAGAATCCATTGTTGAATTAGTTCATATTATCAAATGTGAAGAAAAACAAAATGAATACTTTGTTAATATATACATGTTTTAAATATTAATAAATAAAAATTGTATTAGTAAATAGTAGAACAAAAGAACAAGAAATATTTAATATATTTTTATTACTCCAAATAGGTTATTTTCTTTTAATTTCTTTATTCATACTAGAAACGTAGTAGAACAGAGTATATAATTCTATTCAAGTTTTGTATTTGTCTACAAAATCTCAATTTTGATTGGTGCTTTTATTTTTGTATACATTATACTAAAAAGTATATATAGTAATATACTTCCTTTTTTATATATGCAATAAATTGTAATTTTATAAATAGAGGTGTATATATATATATATATGTATCAGGAACATAGCATTTTCATTAACAAATTTTGAATAATTGTATGCCTTAATAATCTAAATTCTTGTTCAATATCTTTTTTACTTTCTATTTCTTCTCTAAAACCTAATACAAAGTCATCAATTTCAACTTCTAGTTAATCATTATCCTATTGATTAGCTTGCTGTATATTTCTTAATATATTACTTCTCTTTTCTATAGTAGCTTCTTGAAGAAGTTTTTTAATTACATTATTGTGGGTTTTTATATAGTTGTAATAAGAAGAACAATGACTGAAATATTTATCATAGTTAGATTCAGAACACTTGTATATTGTACATATATTTATAACTAAAATTCAATATTAGGGTAAAAATGCCAATTGGTTAAAACTTAAGATAATATATGAAATTCTACAGCTAAAATACCGGTATTATATTAATGTTTATTTGTTATACAAGATCTTATTATTTCAAATTTCTTTGTTAGACTTGTACTACTAAAGGATATATATATATATAAACACAAAACAATTGATTCTTTGCTTTTCAAAACTTGAATTAAAAATTAGAATCAGTTTAGTTAGTTAGAATTTTAATTAGCTAAACTGATTCCAATCTCTAAATTTAAGTCATATAATATTAAACTATGTTTATTCTTTATTATATAATTATTAATCTTTAAAAAATTTGTATATACAATACACTAGTTAAGGAACAAAAGAGTAGTTGATATGTTAAGAAAGCTATAATGTCTTGCTAAAGTTATAAATTTTTGGTATAAAATCTTTGAATTTTCTTTGTTATGTTATAACTTAATTCCCAATAACCAAACACTAACAATTAATTTAATATAATATTAATTAATTATGTTTTTTTTTTCTCTTTTTCTTTTCAGTTAATTAATTATACTAGTACTATAGAAAATTTTGCTAAAGAAATGATCTCCAATAATATAAAGTTATATTAAAAGATTTTAAATTTTTAATGTTTAATTGTTTTGTTATTTTATTTTCTATTCTTTATAATAAACAATTACATATTGTGTTACTATACACAATTGTAACTAGAGAATACTGTAGATTTTATTTGAGTAGTAGAAAAATTTTCAAACAATATCACAATATCAAACAGGCAGAAAACTTCAAGCAATAGTTATAACTACTTCAACATATACAATGCACAATGGTTCACTAAATCATAATATTGCTTTTTTATGATATTATTCAAAGTAAGTAAAAAATAAAAAAAAATTCTAGACATGTTAAATGACATTTTAATGCTATTCAACACTGTCAATATAATCCTGTGATTTTACGAACATGCATGTCTATAAAAAATATACTGAATTATATACCAAAGTAGCAAACTTTGAATAGTATTTGAATTTTGTCATTTTACATATTAAAATGATTAATCATTGTTTTATATAGATGTGTAAATCAATATATATCTATTGATGATTAAAAACTGTATTAGAAAAAGTCATGACAATAAATTTTAGCAAAGAATGATGAACTAAACAATAAAGCAGAAGCAGATAATAGAAATAATAAAATAGATAATGAAATAGATAATAAAGCAGAATTTAAAGAAGATGAAATAAATAAAATAGAAAAGGTATATATTGTATATAGTACATATAACTATATTAGAGTTGCGAGTGAAGCTAAGTTTGAGCTTATTATAGTTTTAGTCTAAGTTTATTTGTTATTGATTTCACTATATTTAACAAATTTTCACTAGTTTTACTGCAACTTCAAAGTTTTACTAGTTTTCACTTGCAACTTCAAAGTTTTATCAGTTTTGCCTATAACTCTAATATGTATATATATATATACATATATATATTTATATATACTGTATATATTAATATATTTTTAAGAGCTCAATATTGATGTAATACAACATTATAATTATTTACATACATATATATAGGGATGTTAAAAGTTTGGTTCAGTTCGACTTGATTTTATAAGTCAAGTTTTAATCTAGACTTGGCTTCGAGTCAAACTTGAACCAAACTCATCATGTTATATAAAATCATGTGAAATATTAGTAAAATACAACTTTATTCATAATAAGTTATATGTAATATATTCTAATTATATACATGTTTTTTATTTATTCTAAAATACCAGCTTCTAACCAATTTTTTAAGCACAATGAAGCTCTAGTCATTTGTTTGAGAAGACAGTTTTGTGTAAGATTAATTGTATAATTTACAATAAAAAAAACATATTCACATGAAACACTTATAACTTGAAGTGCATAGTAATCTGCTATGACAGAAGCTATAGTTGGAAAACGAGAAGAATGTTGTTTCTACCACACTAGTGGACTTATATCAGGTTCTGCAGGTATTGCAAGATAAGTGCCTATTTCATTCATTAAATCTTTTAAATTTTTATTTTTATTTTTGTTTGTTTGAATTAGTTTATGAAAACTATCTAATAAACATCCTTGTTTAGGTGATATAACCACCTTATCAATGTTATATATTAAATATAAAATTCTCAACTGGTTTATAGATAACTAGTGTTCTCCTTCGTTAAAGGTTTCAAGTTTAGTTGATGGATCAAGAAGTGCAGAAATCATAAAAGATTGTAAAAGGTGAGACCAATAATTTTTCAACTTTATTTTCATTTCTTTTGCCATTTCACTATATATATTATTTAATTTAAATGAGCAAAAAAACCTTGAACAATTATTTGTAGAGACCCATGAGAAGGTAATGAGGCATTTGAAAGTATTAATATTGCTTCATAAAAAGGCCAAAGAAAATTTAATACATCTTTAATTATATCCTAGTTATTTTGTTTTAAATATTCACTTTTCAAATTAGAATGTGATTGTACAAGACAATCAATAATATTTTTAATTTTAGCAATTCATTCAAGCATAAGATAGATAGAATTCCACCTTGTATCAATATTGAGCTCAGGATAAAGAGATGAACAATCTAAGATGGCAGATATTTTTTTAATATTCTCTAAAAGCAATGGCGAATTCCTAATTTTATTACACAGATGTTACATTTTTTTTATCTAATTTAAATATAGTTTTTGACCTTCTTTTACTATAAGATTTAGAATATGTGCTGCACAACACATATATATAAGTTCAGAGTTTATATGTTGCTAAAGATAATGCAGACAAGTTTGGTTATTAGATATATTATTGTCTGTGAATCTAATTATCTTTTCTTCAATATCAAAGTTCTTTACAAGTTCAAGAATTTTTTCTTCAAGATAATCACTGGTATGAGCATTTTGTAAAGAAATAAAGTTAAAAAGAATAATATGCAATGTCCAATTGATATTAACCTAATAGACAGTGACTCCAAGGAAGGGCTGTTAAGTATATACAGTCCATACATCTAGGGTAAGAGCTAATTTACTTTTATTATTTTTTAAAAGATCTTTTATTTTTATTTTTTCTAACTCGAATAGTTTTTTAATATTTTTAGACATGGATTGATGACAGGAAATTTTGTAATGTGGGTCAAGGGCAAAAACAAATTTAGCAAAACATTTCTCTTTTAAGAGAGAAAAAGGCTATTGACTAATAATAATGAACTCCAATAGATTATAGTTTAACAATTTTATGTAATTCTTATCAGCCATTGAATACAGAGAAGGGCAAACAAATTTTGCAAATTTTTCAAATACTTTAAAAGTATTTAGATGTTTTTGTTCAAAGTAGCATGTTATTGGTGTTAATGATGTGAGTGAACTCTATTTACCTACAACATCATTATCTTTATCACAAACTTTACAAATATAAGTGCCATCTTTAAGCATCTCAAAATAATTATAAATAGGTGCAGGATTTCTTTTTCATTTATTTTTTAATTTTTTAATAGTTTGGTTCTGATTATTAATACTTTTAGAAGAATTTTGTGTATTATTAAAATAAGATTCAATTGTTTTAGCAGACATAGTGTTAATAGATTAGATTAATATTGAAAAGAGATGTGCCAATTTTATTTATTTTTTTTTTAACTTATAAATTAAAGGTAGATAATGAAAAATGAGCAACTTTTATATTCGAATTCTTTATTTTTTTTAAATATATGTTTGATAAAAAATAAATAAAACTTTATTATTACAATTATTATATAAAATTTTGTAATACAAGCCAATTAAACCTGTGTTTTTTTTAATGCTAATTTAAAAAGAATAATATGTAAATGGGTAAATCTTAAAATTATAATAAAATTCTTTGTGAATGCACCAGCTCTGGCAATAAGAATAGCATAAATAGTTCCAAAATAATACTTATATGCATTCCAAAATAATGTGCACCCTATCTGAAAAATTTATATTTGAATAAATTAATTATTAGCAAAGCTACTCTTATTTATTATCTTTTGTCTCAAGATAATGCCTATACAAATAATATACATAAGTTCAAAATAACATGCAGGTAGGCGGTAATATAGTAACAACATTTGTCTTGGAATTGTAATCTTTATGATCAATCAGGTTGAGTAAATAATATGAAATTTCAATTACATATCTTTTATTTATACAACTTTACTTAAACAAAAAAATCCATACAATCATGCCAGTACTTAGTGTTGAAACAAGTGCAATAGAGAACTGAACATTGATAATTATAGTCCATTCATTAATTCCCAGTTAAATAATAAAGCTGCAATAATTAATGATTTTAAAATCTTTATTTATACAACTTTTATCTAGTGTTGAAAAAAAGTGTGATAGAGGAACTGAATGCCAATGATTATAGCCTGTTAGTTAATCTCTAGTTTAATAATAAAGCTGCAATAATTAACGATTCTAAATTCTAATTATTTATTTTTATTTATGCAACTTTTATCTAGTATTGAAAAAAAGTGCGATAAGAGAACTGAATACTGATAATTATAGCCTGTTCATTAATCCCCAGTTAAATAATAAAGCTGCAATAATTAACAATTCTAAATTCTAATTACATATTTTTATTTATACAACTTTTACCTAGTTTTAAAAAAAAGTGCGATAGAGGAACTAAACACTGATAATCATAGCCTGTTCGTTAATCCCCAGTTTAATAATAAAGCTGCAATAATTAATGATTCTAAATTCCAATTACATACTTTTATTTATATAACTTTTATCTAGTGTTGAAAAAAAGTGCAATAAGGAAACTGAATACTGATGATCATAGCTTGTTCGTTAATTCCTAGTTAAATAATAAAGCTGCAATAATTAACAATTCTAAATTCTAATTACTTATCTTTATTTATGCAACTTTTATCTAGTGTTAAAAAAAGTATGATAGGGGAACTAAATACCAATGATCGTAGCCTGTTTATTAATTCCCAGTTTAATAATAAAGCTGCAGTAATTAACAATTTTAAATTCTAATTACATACCTTTATTTATGCAACTTTCACCTAGTGTTGAAAAAAAGTACGATAGTAAGCTGAATATTGATGATCGTAGCCTGTTTGTTAATACTGGTTTAGTAATAAACTGCAATAATTAATGATTCTAAATTCTAATTACATACTTTTTATTTATGCAGCTTTTACTTAAACAAGAAAATCATGTCTGCACTTAACTATTTAAGTAGTGCTAAAAAACAAGTGCAAAGGTGAACTGAGCACTGTAATTATAGCCTATTTGTTAATTCTGGTTTAGTAATAAGCTGCAATAATTAACAATTCTAAATTCTAATTATATATCTTTTATTTATGCAGCTTTCATCTAAACAAAAAAATCACACCTGCATTTAACTATTTAAATAGTGCTAAAAAAAAGTGCGAAGGTGGACTGAGCGCTGTAATCGTAGTCTGTTCATTAATCTCTGGTTAGTAATAAGCTGCAATAATTAACAATTCTAAATTCTAATTACATACCATTATTTATGCTAAACAAGAAAATCCATACAATCATGCCTGCAAAATTCTGTATTCTATTGATCATTTGAGTAATGATCATCAACACAATTGATTGATTGTGATGAAAATAAGTGCTTATATTAAATCAAAAATTTGATTTGATTTATTATTTTTCATATAAAAGATTATTTGATGCTTTTAAACATAGTAGAAGTATTCAAATACAATTGCAATTGGCAGTGATGATCATCACTTAAACAATCAATAGGGTATTTGCCATTGCAATAAACCAAAATACGATAGTGAATTAAATGTTGATAATTGCAAACTATTTGTTAATTCTAAAGCTACAATGCAACAAATAATTAATGATTCTAAATTCCAATAAATACTTTTTATTTATGCAACTTCTACCTAAACAAGAAAATTATTAGTATCTAACCATTTAAGTAGTATTGATAAAAGTTACACACCAATCATAAATAATAATACCCAATTAGAACCTTTATCTAAAAATAATCCCAATAATGATTAATAAGTTAATAATCAAACTCAGAAATTGACTAACTGCTTTAAATAACATATCTGTACATACCTTAAAAAGTGTGCAAATACAGTACTCAGAATAACATGCATTTGATATATGTTATTTTGCGATTTTACAATAATCACATCTTCAATTATTGATTTAATTTGAAATACAGTGTATTACTATTTATAAAATGCTAAAGAATAAATAATATTAATAAAAGGTTAATCATATATCTTCTCAAACTATTATATAAGGCCACATTTCTTCTTTTACCTATTCATTAATTCGTCTATTTAAATTAAAAAAAAAAACAATTGCATAAATTCTCTTTTTTCCACTAATTTGCCTATTCGAATTAAAAAAATAGTTAATTACAGAAATTCTTTTTCTTTCACCAATTCACTTATTTATTACTTCATTATCTCTAAAAATTTGATAATATCATCTCACTTGTCTAAAAATTCTTCTGCCTTGTTCTTCTAACATTCTCTTATGATTCAATAAAAAAAAAGACGGGCCTATAAATATCTCAGCAAATTTGATAGCCTTGAAACTTTTAATCTCTGCAATACATATGAAAATTTCTTAAACTCAATTGCTAAAGAATATCACGTAAAGTTATTAAATCGCAACTTATTGCAATGGATTGTAATTAGAAATCAACTTTTATCAACCGTAAAAGACAATTCCTTTAGTAACTTCATTTCTACTCTTGACTTGCATTATAAAATCCTCTGTTCTTAAACTCTTTTTGAAGATATTTAAAGACAATTTGAATTAGCAAGAATAATTGTAAAAAATTTTTTAAAAAATAACAAAAGCAAACTATCCTTTACCATAAACACATGGGCTACACCTTCCCAACAGTTCTTTCTTGGGATTACCATTCATTAGGTAGATAATGAGTGAATGATATATACTATTCTTCTTGATATTATTGCTTTATCTGATACCTACATTGATGATTATATTGGAAAAAAGGTCCTCGAGCTTGTAAAGGACTTAAAAATTAAATTAAAATTAATTAGTTTTACTAGAGATAATACAGTAAATAGCCAAAATTGTTATGATTATCTTAAAGAAGCTATCTCTTAAATTGTTTTGCAGCCAAATTTGTCTGCAACTTTTTTTAAATTTTAAATTTTTTTAATAAAATTTTAAATATTGATTTTAGCTATAT